TAAAAAGCATCAGAAATTTCTTGTGTAAAGTTGAACATCCATTATACATGTGTATCTTGACCAGTTAAGGAAATAAACTTTTTCCTTGTACACACATACAAGGGAGGGAGTATGGAGAAATATTTGAATGACTGATACCGCAGAGCACAAGCCCTAGAGAAAGAGATTCCATCTGAGAGCTCCACAAGTCAGAAAAATATTAGAAAAAAATGAAACGTTACCATTTCCACCCAGGCAGCTTTAAGGTTTTGTATATTCAAATCTTAAATCCTACAATTCAAAGAAACCAGAGCTGCCTGAGTAGAAACCTTACACAGAATGGAAAACATAAGCGACTTCAAACTGCTTTTGTCTCTCCATTTCCAGTAACTTGCTGGACTTTGTTTGGTAACAGTACTTGCACTTACTTGGTTTAAGCAAAACCATGAATGGAAGAGCACATTCTGCTTCCAAACAGTTTTAATCAGCGAGAGAGTGATAATCCACCTGTACTGAATGTTGTCATTACCAATTTTCCATCCTCCATGCACGAGGAAGATTTAAGGGTCCAGGCTGCAGACCCAGTACCTTGCAAATCTGGAAGCTGTAGAAAGAGACATGCAATTGCTGGAACACTCCACTGGTAAGAATGAAACAAAACAGTTCCACCATGAAGAAGAAAGTGATTAATTCTGAGCACAAATCAGAAGGGTTACTCAGTGTTCCTTTAGTTGGTTGAAGGATTCTGACTCGCACCTGTAGGAACGGATGAGCAGGAGAAGAGGAAACAACTTTGATTCAAGTTGTATGAGAGAATAAAGACAACTGCCCTAGAGACCCAGTAGAAAGAGAATTGTGCCACTCATAGTTTGAATTCTAGGAAATGTCTGTTCTTTCTGTTCTTGTTTCTACTATAAGAAAAACTAAATATAATCAGTCTTACACCACCACACTGCAAGAACTTGAATTTCTTTTTACCCTCTTATTGTTCACGCTGCAACCGTACAGATCTCAACTGAGATCGGCCACCTCTGCTCCTCACAAAATGTTATCTCATAGTATGCAGGTTGTCCTGGTGCGGTTTGATCCCAAATTGTCAGTGGACCTCAAGTCTCAGTATTGAGACCTCATTTCCCAGAATTAATGTGGGAAACATTAAATAACAAAGAGAGGCATAATAAAAAGGAACAATGTACCCATCAGTATTTGGACTCCTGATGATGCAGACCATGTGAATATTCCACAAGCAAAGAAAACTTTCAGTACTGCTTCCCTTTTCCAGGCCACATATGCCGAGTTACAATACTCCAAGACAGTTCCTGGGTTTCAGTTCAGTCAATTCACAGTTAGCTAGCTCCAGGCTGGCAGACACTTTAGGAACTTCATAGCAAGAAGAACACAATTTGCCTCCAACCCAGATCAACCATGTTTTCTCCAAGTCCCAAGGTCTGTCCAATGTTGTGTGGGTTTCCAAAATTCCATGGCAACAATATTGGTAATAAAACGGCACAATCTGCTAAAGGAAATTGTGTCCGAAGGGCATGAAACGATTCACCATGACAGCTGCATTAAATAAACGTACGAAGAATATTTTTTCTTCTGGTAACAATAGATATGTTTAGGTGGCAACAAGCTGTCCCACAAGCTGAATTACTTCATTCCTTTGAAAAGGCTTCTCAGAGTGTTCCAATGATGTTGAAATCTCAAATCGGGGAAAAAATTATTTTGGCTGGCAAGGTCATGTTGTTCTCTCTCATTTAGAAGCACACTAATAAGACTATTCTTCTGCAGGAAGCATACTTTCTAGTGCGAGTTGCAAATCACAATTCTTCATAATTTTTAACTATTCAACTGAATTAGATGTGGGCTTTTTGGGGATAGGGTAATATATTTGTTTCAGTGTAATATGCCCTACTTTTACAATTCAATCCTTTCATAAAAGCCACTACTGAAATCCTACTCAGGATCTCCATGGTATCTAAATGATTGTTCAGAGATTAAAAGGCTTCAGAAAACAGTTAAAACCTTACAGACAAACAGTAACAGCAACATATTTTGTTTATAACAGACAGGCAAGGAACAATTAGTGGACAGGGTTTGCAAAGACGACTGAAGCAAAGTCCAAAAAATACCAAAACCAACCTGATCGGTGACAAGTGAAGCTCTAACTTGTACCAACGCCAATTCTTCCCTTCTAAAGACTGGGAACTAATTATGCAAGGTAAGTTGTTTGTCTATGTTGATGTGAACAATTAATAAAAGGAAAACCGTGACATTTACAGAACTGATATATTCTATGCTATATTTTCATGCTTTCACACCATCATCATGCTTAATGAGCAATCCTAAAGTAAAACACAAGATGACTGAAGAGGACAACTAAGCTCTAGTCACAAAGCAGCTGCATGTCTTAGGTTGCACGTTTCTTTGCAAAAAGCACATGTACTTCTCCCATGAGACAGGCAGTTTCAATATTCTTAAAAAATTAAGACAGTCTTGAGGAAAACCGAAATGCCGTAAGAAATTGTAATTCACAGAAAATAGTGTTTTAACAGTCAACTTTGCTCAAGAGCTAGAAGCTCCATTCTGCAGCAGCTGATGATTTTTTTCAGAGTTCTATTTTTAAATGCGATGCACTGCATAGAAACAGTCCAACTTAAGAGTTAATACAACTGCATGCATGGTCAAAGATGGATCATTATCCATGAGTGCTGGATGCCTATTTTCCTATTTAGCCATCAATGAAAATGGGTATCCTTTCTGTTCAGTGCTGTGAAAGATTCTACTGTCAATATCAGCAGTAGAACAGCAGCAGCAGCAGATGACGAATAAGAACTAAATCAGGATCAAAACTTACTGGATTCTGTAGTGAAGGATATTCCAGACAAAAGCAAAATCACTCATCACCAACCTCTGACTATGAGCCAAGCATGGGCCTACCCTAGCTATTCTCAGTTCTGTCAGCAGCAATGATGAATTCTTCCTTTTAGCTGTCTTCATTCACTGAAGAACTAGAGTATGTAAAATCTGTTACAGGTTGTAGTTCTGGCGTAAGTTATTTTCTTTGAGAGCCACTTCCCATCAAGCAGATGAAGGCTTACCTGCTAAACATTCAAACCAACTGAAACAAGTGGCAAAGACTAGAAGAAGGATATTCTTGTACTACAGAAAGGACAAGTTCCGAACTTAAGGGAACCAGGAAAACAACCACCAAAAAACGCCAAGCCCTTCAGCCTGTTCTTATCAGTCTGACAAACAGTCCGCAGCAATATGTTTTCCTAACTGAAATTTTGACTTTAACTTGAAGATTGATACATTTTCTCTCTGTTCTCATCAGAGTAAAGTATAACTTCATGTGAATTATCTGCTTATCTCTCTTCAATTCTAAATGCACCACAGAATAAACAGTGTGACCCTTCCGCGTGTTATCCGCTAAAGTAATTTTTGAAATTGTTAACAACAGTGAACAATATAAGCAGTTCTGTCACACGCTATCCATTTGCATGCTCCAGAAATATTACTTAGCCTGGAAAGGAAATGTTAAAAAAGGACCTGGATCAGGTGCATTACCAAAAATACAAACAAAACCATTATCCGTTCAAGTCAAGAAACAGCATCTACCTGTAACAATGGCGTGCCACAAGAACTCCAGTTTTGTCATGGACAACTCAGGATAGACTGAAAGCCATTTTACATGTACCTGAGAGAATAACTTCTCCAAAGTGAAGCTTGCCTGATTTCCACAGCAATACACGATACTGATTTTTTGTTAACTATTAGTTTTCCTTTGTCGACAATTCTTAGTCAGAGTTCAAAGAGTACTTAGCAACATTTAAAAAAGAAAGTTTATATGCTACTTATTAGTATGTGTACACAGAAAATACTTATTTATTACCTTCCATTTAAAAAACGTTGCATTCAGGGAGCTTGATTTTCTTGTATTAAACACATTCAGAGCATAACACAAGTTCAGCTATTCCTCTCATTTACCGAAGAGGTTTCCATCATGCACCACAGACAAGGCTGAGAAACATCCAATAAACCAAAACATTAGAATGGCAAACCAACCCATCCATTAGCACCATGGCTCTTCTTTACAGCATAAACTACCACCACACCAGAACTAGTTGATTTACCAACCTAGACGCAAACTGCAATGTAATCACTCAGCAGACCAACAGAGAATAGCAGAGAAGGAAATTCAGGACTTCATTTTCTTCCCTCAGAAAGATCAGGAGAAAAAATTCAGTTCACCAGTAAAACAGCAATTATTTTTGGAACTAAACACCTTGCCTGGTTACAACATTGTTAACACAAGGCATTTGCTTCAAAACCTAGGAGGGCAAAAGAAAGTTTTCATCAGCAAACCTGATGCCATGCAGAACTCGTATATCAGCATCTATGACGAATTTGTACCACTTTTAATAGTGTGGACTGCTATTCATTTATCTTTTTTAGCAAGCTAAACACATTTATTAAAGGAATATATGGGTATAACTTCTGGACTTTGTTGCTTCTTTTAATGATGTTTCTCTATGTGACAGTATACTTATGAATGGAATGAGATACCCTGATAGGGACCAGTGTTGACTAAAAGACACAGTAAGACCAAAACGAATTTTCTAGGCTGCCCTCCAGAGAACTCCGTAGTACCTGTTTTCAAGTTGAGCATTAAAGAAATGTTTTTCATACATTACTACCTTGAGTATTTCAGATCCATCCAACAGAATTTATACTCACGTAGTAATGGAAATTTGACATAATTGAGAAACTAGGATCCAAAAAACCAACGATCATTCCTGTCCTGCTCTCCAGGAAGAATGAGAACGGTACGACTCCTAAAGGCCAGCAAAACCTGGGGCCTTAATGGAGCTGTCTATGAGAAGAAAAGCAGGTGATAAACCTAGAAGACAGGACACCTCTTCCAGGTAAGGATGGTTCTGAGCACTGTCAACATGTGAACACAGACCACATTTAAAATGTCAAACAAAAGCCATGCTATATGGTCCACCAAGAACACAGAGTTTATAGTGAAATTTATTGTTCTGCTTCCTAATACAATAAGCTACAAGGTACATACAGTATAAAACGAGAACAGCCACAAAGCAAAAGTGATAAACATTCTGTGACAGTACAGTGGAGGTAACATCTGTCTAATCCTTCCACTTTATCCCACAAACAGCAGCTAAAACTACTGGCCCTCCCCCTCCCTCCCCTCCAAAAAATATTAAAAAGTAAACTGTCTCTCTCACTTAGGAGCAGTGGGATTTGTTGGGTTTTTTTGAGGGCACTGGTTACCTGCCAATATCTCAAGAAAACTGCTGAAACTAAAGTAACAAAGAAAAACTGTGAAGGTGGGAGTGACATGACCCATGCAAGATGCTTATGACACCTTGGTTCACTTCTCCTCAGAGGAAATGGCCTGTAAAGAAAGGAAAAGTTTGTTACACCAAGTAAAACAGCAATTAACGTGGTCAGAGTTAAGATGCAGTAAGCAAAATCCGAACTAGACAGCACTAGGTATATAGCTAAACTACTCTTAATGAAAACATAATGTTCCTGTTAATAAGGTTTGGAGATTAACAGCTCCTTTTATTCTTTTTTTGTTTGTTTTTTATCCTTTTATTTTTAGATGTATAGGAGGGTGCACATTGACATGGGCACAGCTGACACCTACTATACAAGGCTCCAAATCAAATAATCCTGTCTAGGAGAACTCTTAACAATGACATGAACTGCAACCTGAACTCTTAAAAAAACCTAAAAAACATCAAGGCTATAAACATGCAGGAAGATTGAATACTTACCTTAAAGGCACAAAATTCCATTTAACCTCTTTTTCATATATACTTGGTGCGGTTGAGGGCTCTCTCAGCAAGATGACCACTTTCATCTGTTATCTTCTCCCAATCTGTTTGTCCAACAACAAAACCAATGGCCCTTTTCCTGTCTGCATCTTTTTTTTCTTCTAGATCTGCCCACCGCACCTATGGAGAACATACTATCAGTAGGACAATCTCTTAAGAAATCCTGAGACAAGTCTAGGCTTTCCACTGCAGATAAAAAGTACAAGAATTCTAATTTGTACTCATTTTCATTCAAACAGGTAAGTATTAATTTGTTTTTCGATGGGTAAAGACGGAAACCACACCAGTTACATTATTTTTAATTGAATATCCCAGGTGTTTCATGAAGTAGAAGAAAGGTATAGATGATTAGCCTTCTCCTTTTCAATGCTATAACTCTGAGTGCTGAAGTGTAATTGTTACAATTATTACTCTGTTCAAAGCAATGCTTTCTGCAGGAAGAATTATCAAAGATTCATTTAGTGTCTTCATTTTCTTCAACGTGTCTTTCAATTGCACAATGGAAACTTCTAGAAGATGACTATGAAACTACAGGAAGACAGTGTTAAAGAGCAACTCGGCAATGAATGAGTGAATGAGGGACAGTCGTCTTCTCTATCTTCTGTGATACATTTCTATTTGAATCTTTCCACAATTTCTTTACACGAAATATGCACTTCTTCATGCATTTGTTATCTCCCATCTTTACAGCTGCAGCTATCTCCTCCGTGGCTCTTTGTGGTCATGCAGATCACTTGCATTCATCCTGTTCAAACATGTACTGTCACTCCCTCACCCACAAACCCAGACACCAATGGGAAGGGGTGCAACAAGGATGAGGGAGTGAAGGGGGTAATGATGAAGTACTACAGCACAGAAAGTCGGCTGGAACACACCTTTGCAGGACAAGAAAAAACAGTAAATGAAGGAGCTCTTCCTTGATATCCTAACTGATTATTCCCATTCAGGCTGATTTGTTGCCTGGGGACATATCCTTATCATCTTTCTGCCAGCATCTCCCTATTCCTCTCCCCCTGACATCCCTGCTGATAAGCAATGCCTGCTTTCTTCCACCATCACTTCCTCTGCCAATGCTTTAGTATCTCTTTTTCTCTTGTGCACACTGTCTAGTACTACCCATGTTTTCTATTTGGCATTACAGAACAAAACAAAGCCTAAACACTGACGGTTAACTCAAATTACTTTTAGTGGCAAAAGCTGATCTTTCTATATTGGAAGAAAAAGAAAAGAAAAAAGTATTGCCTCTTCCTATTACCTCTCTCTCATCTTCCTCTGATTTTTTTGTCCTGTTTTTCACAATGGTATTTGAAGATGTAGCATTTTGTGTTCAGAACAGAACTACATATGAAGTGGTTGAAACCAACTTCTACATCATCTCCCAAGCTTTATGCAAGGTATATGCAGGAGGTAACGTCTACAAGACCTAACAGATACAAAACCTACATAGCTGATACTTTCCTCGGCTGACTCTTTTTGAACACAAGAACAGTGTATTGTTTCTCTGCCTACTTATTACAAAACCTAACAATAAAATCATCTTGTCTTGGAATCTGCACTGTGTATTACACTATCTCATCACAAAACATACAGCATACGAAAAGGACTCTACAGGTTGCTCTGAAACAAGGTGCATCATCTCCCCCAGCAAGAAATGGGACCTGATTCCATTCTCAATCTCAAGAGCCATGCCATGCATGGTTAATCTTTATTATCTACAATTCCTCACTTTGTTATAATTAACCCGTTTACCTCTGGAAGACCCTACTCTCAAGAATATTTTCTCACAGATTCTAATGGAACAGAAAAATGAAAAATGAGTCAGTGAAATCGCCATATTCGTCAACACTGAATGACCTGATACAAACTCTTCCACAGAGACTGTTAAATGGTCATATACAGAAAGTCATTTGAAAATGTATTACCCTTTTCTTTCCAGGTTCAGAAGCACGTGTATCATAGTCATCTGGAAGCTGTAGATAATCTTCCATTCTGCTGGCAATTGCCTCCCAGTCACGCTTCCTTTTAGTGCCAGTCCGCAAACCATCCAGCTTGTCTGAGAACAAACACAGAGCCTCAAAGTTAAAGGAGAATTTTTTCCCATTATTCACATAAACAAGACGTGAGTGGAAAATTTTTCAAAAGAATGAGCAGCAGAACTTGTACATCCAGCTTGTCTTGACAGATGGAATGATGAGAGTTGAAATAAACTAGAGAAGACTCAACACCATTTTCATGTTTTATTGATCTTTCACATTAACTGTGCGGCAATAACAGTCTTGTTATTTGTATGAGGGAGAAAAGCTTCTGGATGTTCATACTATATGGAGTCTGTCCTTACAGATACAACAATATAGCCATCAACAGCTATAAATCACAGATCCACCTGTTCTGTATTTGAACACAATACTAAAGCTGTAGCATTTTCCCCAAATGTGAGGTTTAATACTGTGTCAAACACGGCATACACGCAGTATCAGGGAACAAGTGACGCTCATATAATTTAATGCATCAAAGACAAGTTTTTGAGATACTGTTTCTGCTAAACAAAAAGCTCCTTGGAAACCCTGATCCCTACCCCACCCCTTTTTCTCTCCCCACAAGGAAAACACACTCAAAAAATCCTCCAGGACCGGTGAAAAAAAGATATCTCGGAATCTTTTGTTTCATGGTGTAAAAGGTCAGTCATGAATATTTGAGCAGTACGTTTGTCCAACAGTCATAATTTTCTTCTTTTTCTTATTGAACCAATAAGGCATGAGGAGAAACATTCCATTCCTAGGTTCTAAAATTTTGTTCCTCTTTGGACACTTATTTTCAGTGACAAAACAACACCTTCTTGAAATTATGTGGCAAACTGCTTTTGGAAAGGAGATTAAGTATTCATTGTACGATTACAAACAACAAAGCGCGAAAATGAAAAACGGCTTTACAAGTCAAAGGAAATCCCACTACTTCTGTCAATGTATGCTACCATTTTGTAAGCCAACAATTAAGTATATGCAGAAGGAATACTAAGCTTGGCAGTTATATTCTCTAAACCATTCCCAGCGACGTCAGTAACATTGTTTCAGAACTCACTGATGTAATTAAATTCACCCAATAAAGGCCTCAGAACTAAACCAAATACAAGGCAGCATATTTTCTGGATAGCAGAAGAGGATGTTCAAAGGTATGTATTTAAAGAAGCTCAGTTCAGAGATGAGTTTTTTTACTTAATGTGGGAGAGGAAAGAGCAACAACGGAAATAATGTGAGGCAATGGTGATATGGACGTGCTAGTATCATTTAAATGCCATAAACTAATGAAGTAATTTCTCCCTCATACAACTCTAAAATTTTGAAAGACTCCAGCTTTGCCCCATTTCCCGGGAACAGATACAGAATTTCTTCTAAGAAAACATTTTAATCCCCCTCCGCCTTCTAGAAAAGCCAACATTTAAGAAAACTTTGCAGAATATTTGTGTCTGTTACATGGTATCTTGTTACATGATTCAGTTAAGGTTCTTCTTTTGCTTTAAGTCAAATCTGCCAAATTTGAAGCTCAATCTCCACAGAAAGACGATACTCCCTCTAGAAGACAAAATTGATTTATGCAATATTCCTCTGTTATTCCATCATATCACGTACTTGCACTATTCCTCAGTATTACTCTCAGATCAATCCGTGTAGATCATTCATAGCATAAGCGTTTCCAGAAAAAAATGACGTTGAAAAGGAAAGCAACAAACGTATCGAGGAGCATTTAGGAACATGAAGAACTGAAAATTCAGGAGCTCTCTGTTGGCAAGTATCTGTACACAGACATATTCCTGTTGGAAGGCAACATGCTACGATCCAAGTTCATCTCATTACCAACATGGAAGAAGGAGTTCAGTCTCCCACTCCCTGCTGCATGCAGCCCATTCGAATGTGTAACTCTCAAACATGAACAGAGGAGTTGAGGAGGCGTTCAGAGTATGAGGTTCCCCTCTGTCCCTTTTTGTTACTGCTACACAGAATTTATTTTAAAATGTTATCTCCTCCCATGTTTGAAGTTGGATTGCCTTTCCACAGGGATCTGCTTCCATCCATACTATTGCAGTTCAAGGTACACGTGCCATGCAGTAGACACAATCTACAGAAATGTCAAAAGCCTACCACAAAGCATCATTTCAGAATATTCTTTTCTGAAAATGAGACAAGGTGTCATTTTGTAACAATGGTGCTTATGAGTATTTATGGCAGATGATTATTTAGTGTTTAGCTATCAGACATCATTTTACCATTTCAGTTTTAAAAACAATGAAGCAGCAGCATTTCTGAAAATCCACAGAACTTAAAAACTCACCTTTAGAATTTTAATAATAAAACATCTGAAAGAAACTGACTTAATTTGCTCCTTCAAAAACTAATCAGATAAATTTTTTCCCCTTCTTATACAAAACCCACAAAGTTTTAAGTAAAATGTTATTTGCATTCTAGAGCAAATTTTACAATGGTATCAAAAATTCAGCTATGCCAGAACTTATTTCTCCTTTCCTGAAAGTTTGTAGAACTCACCACTAAGACACACTTTGAAACAGTATTGCGCTAAACCCTTTGAATGCAGTCAAATTTTTAAAATGTGAGTCAATTTCTGTCATTTTAAATATAAGAACCCATGTGCACTATGCACTGAGACTGACCAGCAATTAGACTTTAGAATAAAAATGTGGCTGTGCACTCACAACACATAAGGAAATGATATACCACACACATACTCAGAGGAATGCATCGCCGCTGCCAAAATCTAAACTAAAGCAAGAGCTCTGGGGCGTACAGTATGGTAATTATCACAAGTCAGTGTTGCAGCTAAAAGACCCAAACTTTTCAAATGTTTTCTGAGACTTATCACAACCAGTAAGATCTTATTGTGCTTTCCTGTAACCACATCTACTCAGAAAAAAAAACAAAAAAGCAAAACAAGATTTACAGTGTTGTTTCTGGATTCTGCACTTATATCACTTCTGCAAATGTGTTCCCTCTGGGATTAACGCAATAAACCTAATGGGCAGGCCAGCTCCCAGGAAAGAACTCAACTTTGGAATAACAAATGCATACCACAGTTTACATGCCTTTCAGGAAATAATTTTAATTGGTCACCTACAACAAAATGTTATTGTCAATTAAATATAATAATTCTTACTCACAGACTGCAAGTGCTTATAATGCATACCTTGAGCTAAAAGTTGTCTGCCCTTGCAGAGCAATTTTTCAAAGAAACAGCATTCATTACATAGGAATGCCTGCCTTTTTTTAAAATGTATATTCTGTCAGGATTTACTTTTAACCTATAGCTCTCTGTATTTATAAAAATGGATCTAGAGGGTAGTTATAAAAGTAAAATCATGAATACAGATTTAATAGAAAGTCCTTCTCAGCACCTGTATTTGTGTCTTGCAGCATGCTAACATCCAGCTTGTTAACAGAGTTTGATTGTTAAAGGATTATTGCAACAGCCTTGCAAGTAACTTCAGCATAGAATTGACTCTGCTGCTAGCTCCCCATTTTACATTTAAGTGGAGGCCATATAAAACCCCCTGTGTTTCATATTATGGAGTTTTCATATGGAAAGAAACACAACACAGTTCTTTATTTCTATTTGTTAGCAGTATTTGATCGTGAGAGAACTAAATTTTGAAAGTTATCTGTAAACTTCTGCTGCAGCCACAGGCTCCACATTGCTAGAAAATACATAGAAAACTTAAATGTTTTTAGAACATACTTTGGACTCCTGTGATATTTGTAAAACGCACGGGATGACTTAAGGTTCACCGTATGCAGCACAACACATCTGTTCCTACTACTCAGTATTTAAAGACGAGTCTATGTTATTTGGAATACAACACAGTGTATCAGAGCATTCTTCAATAATGCAGTTTTCCAGTACTACGATTTTGTACATAATTGGGAAGAAAAAATCATTATAAACTTAAGAAATAATCTTAAGATATTAAAACAATCAACTCTTATAACAAAAATGCAGAACAATCCTGAATTAATTCTGTCTAATTGCTTATCTGTTTGATATGCTGGCATCGAGTACAAGGCTCCTCCAGTTGTACTGCAGGTTGCACAACATCAATATATTCCCCAAACATTTGAATGACTTAAAAGAGAGCACAGCAGCAGAAGAGATGGTGCAGCTAAGCAGTTAACAGCAAAAGACAAAAGGTTGCTTTATGTAAGCCAGAACTTCTAATGCTATTTCTATGGTGCAACTGTGATTTTGGTTATTGGAAAGTAATGATACGCAGGGCTGTACCACACATGCAGAAGCAAACCTCAAAATGTTAAAACATGCTATGTCCCATTCAGATATTTGTTACTTCTCATAGACGTGACAGAAAATAGCAGTTTAATGCAGACTGTGTTGATACAATCTTCACTTAAAACCATTACTGTTCAGTAAAATTGAGCAAACAAAAAAGCCCTGATCATAATGACTAGAAGCCCCTTTCCATGTGTACACCTTCCACCACAGCCGTGGTGCATGCATTTCAGCCTCAAAGTTGCTTTTGACTTTGACAGAATCCTAGTATTAGCACTTAAGTCTAATGCAACCAGCAGCACTGATCAGAACAAAAAGTGCAGCAGAAATAGTGCCTTTGTGCCCTTGGAAAGTCCATCTTGCATCCTACTAAGAAGGATTCTAGTACTCTCCTGGAACTGAAAAGCATAACGAACTTTAACTTTTCAATACCTAAGTTGTTGAAAAGATACACCAAGGCCTAATCATTCAGAACCAACTTCAAAGTATGGCACTACTTTGTCCTCACACATGTCAATTTTGGAGAGGAAGAAACATCTTCGATACAGTTAGCTACTTGGCATGTCTCCAAGAAAGTAAGAAGTTACTGATGACACTTTGGCTTGAAAAAAAGGTATGCAGTATGAACAAGAATGCAGTGCAATGCAAGTTAACTTTTTGCTTTTTATAATAAGGAAGAGATGAATAAAGAATAGAAATACTGCTTTTTTAAGATTTTAAGACAAAGTACTTTCCTTGAACAGATGGAAGAATAATAATGACTATATAAAACAGCGATGGTTAGAAAGTCATAATTCCCTTGCATCTGGCAGAAGACAAGTTCCTTTTCTGTACAGATGCTTTTGCAGTTTCAGACATGTGTATGAGATCAATACATTTATTTGTCTTTGGTAAGAAGGCACAGTAAAAATGAAAATTCATGTTTTGCAAACATCGTCAGATACCAACTATAAGAAACAGGAAAAAATAAATACCCACCTAGCTTTGCCTCAGAAGTGTCCATCTCCCATTTGCTTTTCGGAATGTAACCCTAAATCATACACAGAGAGAAGCTCGGAGGATTAGAGAGAGACACACATGCATATCACTTTCCAACTGGAAACAGCATTATAATGGAAGCTTAAGATATTTCTTTTTGTAAGGCACAATTCTTGTTATCAGAGGAAGGAGACAATTTACTCAGTATTTCAGAACTTCTGCATTCACTTCCCATTCAGTGATTTTAGCATCCCTTGCAAACCATTACAAGAGTGCTGTCCTCTGCAAACACAGAGCTCCAGAATGAGTCCAACAGACAGCAATGGCGCTGTGTGCACAGTTACTATATTATATTATCCCAGGTGGCAAACTTACTGCAACACAACTTATCAGGCATAAAGAATATTCAAAGCTTTACAAATACAAATGAAAAAGTTACCATAGTCATAAGCTTTTAAGAATGTATTCCCAGATTTACTACATACAAGCTTCACTTAATAATCCTTTCGAAGGGACGTACTAAGTTCTTGTATAAGTGGTTAGTCCACAACTACACAAATTTTTTTTAGTATTTGCTGAATCACTAACATTTAAGTATTATTTTTCATTTTAAAATAACCCTTAGTTCAATGATTCTTTTAAAACACTTTTTTCCTACAAATAATGCCATCATACGTTTTACATATAATGATCTTTAGCCAGTTTATTCCTTGTAAATGAGCATAATGATATTAAATTTGCCAAAAAGGTACTTATTTTATATATCTTCTTGTTACCTTTTCATTTCATACTCTTGCACAAGTAAATCCTTACTAAGTAACTCCTCATTTCATAACTCATTTCAGCTTTTCAGATTTGGTATAAAACTACTTAAGTTTCTCTGCAATCACATAAAAAGCTCAATGTAGTGAAATGGAACCTCTGTGAGAATTTAATTATTTTAAGAATGAGTTTTAATAGAGAGGGAAAAGAACTACTCTAGAAGATTTCAACAAGAAAACAAATAATCCACAGACCAGTTTTATTACATTAGTTTCTTTTCTGATCTATTTATAGGTTGCCTCCACTGTGGTAAACATATACATGTATTTGTTAGTGCTAACAGTTACTAAATCAGAGCGTACTACTCCAGAGAGCTACACTGCTTTTGATTATGTTCAGCATTGCTCTTCCAAAATCCTTGAAAGACCTTTTTTTCTATCAAGCATGTACCAGTGACTTGAGGTTATCAGATCTCTGTATTTTATTGGTTTTAATCAAGTCTGTAATGAATACAAACTAAGTTTGTGCTGCAGTATTTCCTTGTAACAAATAAATTTCATGTATATATGTATAGTTATACTTTTAAACCAAGTTGCACATTAAAATTTGCTCAGAAAGTTTTCACCATAGCTAGAAGCCTGTATTGAACAAAGTGGTGTGTGATACACTGGTGAGAACACTAAGTTAAATGCATTGATAATTCATACCATCAAGCACAGAAAAGCAAGAATTGTCCGAGTGCTACAAACAACCCTATGGGAGTTGATAATAGCAACAAAAGAGTGACTTTGATGGTGTGAAATAGCCTATTGTGTGCTGAATCTGTACAATAGCCCAGTCCTCAGATACGATAAGAAAAAGATTCAGACTTCATCCTTTGGTACAAGACAGTTGAATATTTGAAGGACATCTGCCAGATGGCAGGAGCTTCAGACCTCTCTTTTTCCACAGGATTAAATGCAGCAAAATGAATTGAAGAACCCTTACCAACTGCTCTCAAGAAGGCAACAGATACCAAATAGAGTGTACTGTTCCACCTTTCTGTCTGACAAACCTCTCTCTGAGATTAGCCATGTCACTGAATAGCAGAGATTACATACAGCAGATAATTCTTTGCTATTTTTCATCTCTTGTGAATCTGAATAAAAAACATTCTTATATGTAGATTATTTTTAATTATTAATAATTTGCATAGTTTTCACCACCAAGCTTTCTCCTTGTCTCACAAAGAAAAGGCCTATTGTTACATATGCTGTACATTAGGACACCCCCCCAGAACCCATAAACACACACGTACACACACACTTATGCACAGATGTCTCAAAAGCTGAAGACAACTTTCTCTTCTAGATACAGCTCATTTCCAAGAAATGAAACTAGCAGCCATATTCTTGTAAACATGGATGCATCTTTGAAATCTTCTAACCACACCTTATGCAGTCTCATACTTTGTGCCAAAGAATAATTTAGTAAAGAGAATAAATGAGTCATATTGCAAAAACCAGATGTTTATTAAAATCCACTCTTCCTAAGCTTAACTTTTTTAATCCCGTATTTCAACTGCTTTCTAAACTGCCACTGCTGAGGAATAGTAAATTTCCATCAAGAAAAAGAACTTTGCTCGTCTCAGACATTTTTGGTTACTTCCTGTTTATTGGAGCTTAACTGCTTGGTTGTGGGAACCAGGGTTTGACACATTCAACTCATCAAGCACTGAGCAGCTGCAGCTCCAACACGTACCAAGAAGTTACATTAGGAAGCCTTCCGTAGCCTTTTAAATACATACCTAAAAAACACCAGCCCTCAGAGCAATTCTCTAACCTTCATTTATCCAAGAGACCTAATCCCTCATCTTGGAAATACCTACTGACAAAGTCAGCGAGCCTTGCAGAGAAAGCATTCTTCTTCATAACTGTTGTCATATACTGCGACAGTTGAGAAGAGTTCTTTAGACACGTGAAAAGAAATACGCTAAATTAATCTTTGCCCATTCTTCCCATCTCTCCACTTAGTGTAATTCTTAGATAATCTGTAAGACAGTGCTATAGTGTACTGCAACTTGTAAGTGTCTCTAAAAGGCATGTTTCCATGCTCCACTGATAATGCCGTTTGTGGCATATATTCACAGATTCTTCAAAAAATTCAGTTGGAAATAACATGATTTAACATTAAACTTCTAGAAATGTTTAAGGAACAAACAACTAGAGATGTGTGTATTAAGATCACACTGCTAAGAATGGCAATGGGTTGGCATTTATAAGACTGAGATTCTCCCTCAGACACATTAACAAACATTTTGTTAGAGATGGCTGATGTGTCTCCTACCAGTTCACTTTCTTCCTCCTCTGCTGTATCCTTCTTGACTTCTTCTTTCTGGTCTTCAATATTTGCATCAAAATCCTCCATCTCCACCTGCCCCAAAGAACAAGCACAGACGTACAAGGCACCGCTTGACTTTGAAGTACTATCTTTTTAGCAGAAGATTCCAAGTTCAAATAGAAAAGGAAAGAAAGGACTCATCTTGGAAAGTACGATATATGAATACTGGCTCCATTTCGCCTTCCCTCCGAAGCAGGTTCCCTTCTAGCTACAGAGTGACAAACTGTGTTGGAAAGTAGCAACCGTTTATTCTCTTCCTTCACATACATTCTTTGTGCTACCGCTATCTGTAACAGTAAGATACTACTCTTGCTTCCCACACAATCACATTTCAAAACTTGAAATCTCAGAAAAAGATCTTAAACTTGCCATTTACACATCACTGGAATGGTGCTCTCTGCACAGAACATTCCCATCAAGGCTTCATCTTTTATATATTTAAATACCACAGTGAAGAATAATAACCACAGGTATTAACATAATAAAGAAAATGGATGCTTAAGACACACATCTAACCCTGCCCATCAAATGGAATACTTTCTGGGGTCCCCATCTCTAATGGGCATTCATGTGCATACTGTGGAATACCTAAAACTCTCCAACAGGATGTACAATCCTTCATTAGTAAAACCTTGATGGACACACAGTAAATCCCAAATCTGCCCTTCTCTGAGTCTACTTGAGAGCTGAGCCTTTCACTGTCCTCTTAAGGATTACTATTTTCCAATACAAAGAATTTTGAGATTCAAAAGTAACCTGCTGACAAACTGCAAAGAGTAAAGTTTCTTCCTACTTCAGCAGTTCACCAGTTTCTATGGCCATGGCAAGAGCTGTTCTGATAGCAACGTGCAGCTATGGTACATTCACAATTAACACACTAATTTATTCCCAGAGCTCCTGAAACATCTGCCAAAAGAATGCAGCAATACAGAAAGCTGACACACCAAAGATGCCATGGCAAACTGCAAACGGAATTAAAAGGTAGCATACATTTACAGCAAGTGTAATCTTCTGCCACATGTTATTTATTTCTTCATTCTCTGCCACAGGTCTGTATTTCTCAAAACAGGGACTGAGAGGAATTCAAATTCGTTTATTTATTTATTTAATCAAACTACTTCCTCAAATTATGATCCAATTAATCCAGTAACCTCAAAAAGTGCTGAGTTTCATCTGAGAGCGCAAAAATCCTCTTTAATTGGTACTCAGCTGCTAAGAGCAAAGTGGCTTCTACTCTTGCTCAAAGCTGTGTAATTCAGGGCTCTGAATGGGCGATAAAAAGTAACATGTACCTTCATGCTTGGGTAGAATGATAACAATAATGGAATACAGTTGTCTGACACAGCGATTCTGGCTTTCTACAGTGCCAAGTATAACTCCCCTACTGTGATCACACCTTTCCCTGCTTTGTATTTGCAGTATAGTCACATTTACATAATTTGTAATTTTAACAAGCACAGAGATTCTCACCTCTTCAATAGCAGCATCCTGCAACAGAGAACGAATGTCCAGGCGCATCATGTGACGTGGTGCTGCCTCCCAGTGATCAGACATCTAACAAAAAACAGAAATGAAGCACCTCTAAAAATGTAAAAGAGTCAATGGAAAATTTAGTTTCTGATCACTAACAACATGGATCTGTACTTAAGTAATTTCAATCAATCCCATGAAATAACTACCAGCTCTTCCTAGAGGAAAAGTGTAAGCATTATGTAGTCTACAAGAAGTCAATAGTTTTCCAACGACAGCAGGCCTGAAAGCACAATGAAACCTATCATTAATCCTAGGACTCCAGATGTATACAGTTACCCTGCTGATTTCCTTCAGCTTGCGTCCATGAATATTCCTCTTGGAACACGTCTGGTTATCTGCACTCATTTCAGCTAAATACACCTAGAAAGAGAAAGACAATATTAAATATTGTACATCAATTTTCAGAGCTCTTTTTTCTACCTGGTGATACACTCTGCAGTTCTACATTCTAAGAAAGGTAAATCTGTAAGATTTACGGAAGAATTTTCTTTACGCAGATTGCAGTGTATTTCCTGAATGTGTGAGGGACTTTGCATCCAAAAGTTTAGAAATACCAGCATAGAGGTGCTAGCAAGTTCAAATGCTTTTTAGGCTCTATTACCTCAAAACCCTTGGTTTTTGCAGCACTCCAAAACTGTTCAAAATGTCGCACTCTATCATTGATAGCATCAAGGATAATGAAGGGGAAGAAGCCATCATCCAAGGTCTTTTTGAAAGTTTTAAACATGCTGGTACGATAGGTCTCTTCCATATCAGCTTCATATTCATACTCCATCACCTTTATCAAGGACAAAAGCATTTAAGAAAGAGGACACCTATTAAATTGCTAATGTTCAACTGCTGAATGTCATGACCACAAAGTACACAGGTATGAGAAAAACATCTTCCAGGTCAACTTCCAAGAATTTGCCCATTCTGCCCTTAAGTTATATTGATTTGTTTTGAAAAACAGCCCACAGATCTGTACACTCTTCCAATGCCACAGACTGAAATTCTGATTGCCACTGTGCTGTTCCAGAATGTCTTTTTTTCTTTGTCAAGATAAGCAACTGAATTAAAAGTACCTTCTTTTTCACTTTTTTCCCTGTATCTGGGTCTCTTTCTTCTTTTTCCACTTCAGTGATAAAATAGTCATCCAGGCTGAGCACTCTTGGTGCAGGTCCTCCACACTCTACTTCCTTATCCTGAGAAGAAAGCAGAAAGAACATACATACTCTTGCTGTAAAAATCTCATTCTGCTACAGAGGATCTTCAAAACACTTCTGGCAAACAGCAGTTCCCTGCTCTATATTCAATACAAGAAGAGAGCAGTATCCCTCATGCTTGCTAATAGTGGAGGGAGTTCACATGCCATATGAAGACATGGAACATGAAATACGAACAGGCTGAAATTCCAGACAAACAGAAAGAAAACAGCAGAGGAAGTGCACGTAAAAGACAAGCAGCACTATACAGTGAGCAGCTGGTTACATACCCTGATGAGTTTTGCTACATGTGTCTTTCCACTGCCAGGCAACCCTCTCATTATGATTACAATCTGAAACAAAGATCATGTAAGAAGACAGGATACTGTATTACATTTAGAACCTCTTTTGCAAAAATTTTCTTCTAGAAAATTATGTGCTCTGGGCTCACATATTTGCATATCATCAAGCAAAGCCAGTATCATGCCTCACTGCCTGTTTTACAACCCCAGTTGTGAGGAATGGTAGTAGTTCCACAGAATAAGAATATATGATGTTAATAATCTCAGCAGCTTATACTGCGTAAGATGTTAATAGATCTGGTTCAGGTAAAATTAATGGAATGAAACTTGTCTAAATGTTTTATAGCCTGAATCTTGTTCTTTCTTATTTTATATGGGGCATTGCCAAATCTCTGACTTGACATAAAGCCAAGTCTTTCCTCTGATACATCAAAAACCCAAGTGAAGATCTCAGAAGAATCTAAAATACATAAACATTACCACTAATAGGAATTTCATCTTAGCATTCCAAGGAAGTTTAAATCTCCTGTGGACTCCTAATAGCTATGCTACAATGCCCTAGGCATTTGCAAAGGAACCAAGATAATTTCCAGAGCTTCCTCAAATGTAGGTTTGTTCCCAACATACTACACTCATGAGCACTTTATCTGCAGACGGGTCTTGTAGAAACCGACTGTTGCTTTCAGAATGCATACTCACCCTCTCCGGCCTGCTATCTCGTCCTGGTGGCTTCAAAATATCATCTACATTTTTAGATTCTGGCTTCCTTTCCACTCGTGGAGCAGGTGGTGGCTGACGGGGCATTGATGGAGCAGAAATAGGAATCCTTTCCTCAGGGTAATTTCTACGATCACCTTCAAATTCCAGTGTTTGGACAGAAGAATTTTCTTAGTTCAGTAAAATAAAAAAATGAAGATGTTCATACCCAGCTGAGCTGATTTAAACAGACCTTCATTATTTTAGGATAAATTCACAGATTTGTCCCCAAAATAATTCAAATTTCTAATCTTGAATCTATTGCAATCAAAGACATTTTTTAGCAGAGTATATAACTGTTGCATTCCCGATCTCGTCACCACTGAGAAACAAAACTACATGACACTGCTCAAATAAATCTTTCTGAATTATGTATTCTGAACAAAGAAACACTGCAGATGAATTCATCTTCTCCTAACTAATCTTCACCTCTGTGAGCCCATTATTTTTCATAATATTCTAGCATGGCTTCAAAATTGAGGAACTGTACCTCCAAACATGGTAGGCCCATGATCATATGCTGGACGATCTGTCTTTCGTTCATATGGTGGTCTTTCAAAACCACCCCGTCTAGAGGAGGGATGGTCTTTCTTGTCACGGTAAGACTGAGTCCTTGAAGGTGTAGTAGGAAGAATCCTGCCAAAACAGTATTTTGCGTATTTCTAGAATTTCTACTACAGATTCCAGAGAGAGATGAACATGTACCTCACAGGCAGAATGGACAGCCTGATACTCAATACAACCTGAATTGTATTGATTTCAATAGTGTTCTGACACCACGTACCTATCATCTCGGGGATGCCGGTCTTTTTCAAATCTCTCTCGTTCATAGTCCACAGAACCACGGTCTCTGTGCAATTCCCGCTCTCTCTTGAAATCCCGATGATCTGTGTTGGAATTACCTTGACGCTCAAAATACGGCTCACGATCTCTTTCTCTGTTGTAACGACCTGGGTGCTCTGAAAAGAGAAACCCATAGAAATCCAAACTACTAAAACATACTCTGAATTTTTTATTATCTTTGAAAGAAAAGCAACAAACAAGAGTGCAAGAAAAGTTAAAAGAAACATATGATGTGAGGGCTAGAATGGACTTAATCTCTTTTCCAAACTGTAACAGACAATCACATCATGCAATCCTACTTAAAGTGACAAAACTGAGTTTTTAAAGTGGCTAGGTTATTGACTGCATTACTCCTCTTGACCATATAAACTGTTATTCTTATGGGCCTCTAAAGAAAATAAAGTGGTTCTAGCTTAAACAAGAATTACTTAGTTTAAAATACACTTTTAGTGCCTTTTTATAAGAGCTTACTAACTGTCTGAGAGATAGCCAAGCACTCCCTACCTTTTTGAAATGTTTGCCTCTCTGGTAGAGGTTCCGGACGCAGGGTTACCCTCTCCCCATATGGAATCTGTTCCACTTTACTGGTGGTTATATCTGGTTAAAAATAATAAAAAAATAATTAAGGTTTTACAATACCCCTCTTCCATTTTCTTTCCTCTGTCATTGAAAGCAATCAGTCAATGGCATTAAAAGTGACTGGAGTAACTTATCAAAATTTCTTTCAATAGGTAATGCAAAAAGAGCTATACATAAATACACAACACCTTGGTTTTGGCATTGAAGAAAACATTAAACTCAAGGCTGGAGGTTACAGACTCCTTAAAACTGCATTGCATAGTATTAGATCACAATGTGTACAGCCTACAGGTCAGCTGCAGAACACCTATGGCATGCTTTGCATGGCACCCTCATTTAGAAAGAAGCTAGGAGTACTAATTAGCTCTCCATTACAGTTCAAACATATACACTGTAATACCAACCTCGCCCGTGGCCATAATCCACAGTTTGCTGAATTACAGGTGCTTTAGGAACTGGTGGAATAACTGGAGGAAGGGACACTGGTACAGCTGATGGAACAGAGGTGTGAACGGCAGGTACTTTCACAGGCGAGGAGACTGGTGGAGGCATCATTGACTCCTGTTTACACAACTCGTACTCCATATTTGCTCCTTTATCCTCATTTGTGTCCCAGAGTCCGTGGAAAGAATCCTCATCCCAGCGTTCCTGTTCCACAGTAGAAGGTGATGGTTTTAAAGATTGACCATGACTTGGGGTTGTAGTTGGAGTAGAAACTGGAGCATGTGGCCTTGTCATAGGTGTAGCAGGCCTTGTCAGTGGGGCACTTGGTCTTGTCACAGGGGTGGGCTGTCTGAACAACACGGGAGGCTTTATAATAACAGCAGGAGAAGGTTTAATAGCCTGGGCTTCTACTGGTGCCTCTGAAGATAGCTGAGAAGAGACCTAGATGCAGAAAGCACTTTTAATGTAGATCTGTAAACTAACCTTCTCTCATCCTCTGTAAGTCAGTAAGCACAATGGCAATCTGTAATCAAACCATAAGCATTTTCTAGTACCTCCATCAAGTTGCTACAGGTAGGAGGACAATATTTCAAGAACTGGTGGTCTGAACTAATTTGGTGTTTGTTCACTATGTGAAGGCTTAAATATTATTTATTTTCTCCTTCAGAATAACCTTACCAATTTAAGCTCCAGTAGGCCTATCTCAGTTCAAAAGTGTCTATGGTTTTATTCCCAAAGATTCCTGCT